CTCCGCGCAAGGGGGATGATCGCACCACGGTGTGTTGGAATGGTCAAGCACCCTCGAGGCAGTTACACAGTGCTTACAACTGTCTCAGGAAGTGAAAGCACCAGAAAATAAATTAAGTCATACGCAGCTGTCATCCGTACGCAAGGAAGTAAGCACAAGATGCCGAAAACCCTTAGCAGGATGCAGCGCACCCTTCATGCGACTCGCCGAATATCTCACGGCGCTTCGCGCTTGGTGATGTGAGAGCCTGGTCCGGTGAGAACCCGGCGTGCTCCGTCCCGGCTTTGTAGGGATGCGAGGTCAATGGTCTAACGACTACGGCATGCACGACTATGAGTACCCCCCCCCCCCTCTGCCCGTCTGTCTATCCCCCTCCCTCTCACTCACTTGGGGAACGGCCTCTTGGCCTGCAGGAACACCGCGAACTTCTTGACGTTGATTGGGGGGTGGTCCCCGTCCACCGGGCACTGGGAGTAATCCTCGAAGTTAAGGAAGAAGGACCGCAGGTTGCGGCAGAGCGGCAGCAGGTGCAGCCACACCTCCTCCAATGCTTTTTCGTCCGTCTCCGCACCCTCCACGATTATCACCTCCTCTATCTGCCGCGTGCGCACAGCACGAAACATCTTTAATCAAGATATAAGATCAAAGACGAGCTACCAGTTCGGAGATGCAGCAACAGGCCTTCAGGAAATACACGGAGTACATACGACCAAAAGAGTGAGCGAGAACATGGTACGGGAGGGTTCGAAGCACACAAGAACACAAGACACGACCAGGGTATGGGCACGCGTCAACAAGGAAGGCTCACGCACACGAGCAACCAAGCAAAGGGGCGAATGAAGCAACTACATCCTCTGCTTTCCAACTGCACGGGCAAGAGGCCAGTGTCACCCGACAAAACCAGCCGGGTCTAAAGAGCAGAACAATCTTGGTAATTGACCTCGTGACAAGGCAAACGAGAAAAACCGACCAAAAAAAGAAGGCAACTTACACTAGTCAAAGTTCCGTCCGCTCTTCTCGAACTCCAACCCCCCGGCGACCCGAATTCTGTGTAAGATTGTGCACGCAGCAGCTTACCATTCCTTCCTTCAGCGACGCATGCTTCATACTAAACTGCCGAAGGCCGTATCCAGCATCCAGCGTGTGCGCAACTAAACAAAACCCCGAATCAGACCTCCCGCTGCCCCCCCGCTTAGACAACAGGCAGACGACCCCCCGCCCGCCACCCACCCAAGAAGGCACGAAGACGCACCTTCGGTAGCGCGCCGAGGAGGTACGACCACGCCCTCACGGGGCAGCAGTCGGCGACCCTCAAGGCCTTCTCGCCCGCCGCCGCCCCGTAACGATCCGCCCCCCCCCCCCCCCCCCCCCCCCCCCCCCCCCCCCCCCCCCCCCCCCCCCCCCCCCCCCCCCCCCCNCGCCTCCGCGCCCGCTGCTGGTGCCGCCGCCGCCGCCCCGGCCGCCTCGCTGGCCGCGACAACGTTCACGCCGCCGCCTGCTGGTGCCGGTTCCTCCCCCGCTGCAGCAACCGCACGAGCGGCGCTTTCGGCTTTCGAGGGCATGCCCACGCCGACGTACCTGTTTAGCGTAACGGGGGGCGGGGGGGGGTACTCGTGTTTCGCATGCCTTAGCGTTTAGACCATGGACGAGCACGAGGAGGGGGCGACAACAGGGAAGAGCGCTTCGCTTCACGCTTTTGTATTGGTTCCCACGAACGGTGATCGATAAATCGCAGCGTGAAAGGCGTTCATACTATTTCGCGTGTTGGCACATGGAACGCGAGCTCGGGGGGGGGGATCCGCAGACTGCATTACGAAAAGTGCTGACTACGTACTTTGAAAGGGGAGTGGACGCTTCGATGTACATCGACACATGAAAGGCTTCCGTTCACTAATAGGTACCAAACTAATCTCTTTACGCTTCGGTTGAGGCACGTAATCACACATAAATAGCACGGGCGCCGCGAATTCCGGCGGTACCTCTCTACGGCTGCTACGCGCCACATGTCTGTTACGTGTTGTTGAAGAGAGTTCTTCGGGAAGTTTAATCTCTGTCGCACTAGTCGGCGCCCCTGCCATTTAGCAGCAGGCGTAACTAGCTACGCTCCTTCCATTTGCCAACGGCCAAAGCAACCAGCGAACGAGTGGCATCTCCCCCCTTCGGGGTCAATGGTTTATGGTTTGACGACACCCCTTTGAGTACCTCCCCCCCCCCCCCCCCCCCCCCCCCCCCCCCCCCCCCCCCCCCCCCCCCCCCCCCCCCCCCCCCCCCCCCCCCCCNAGTGTGAGGAAGGCTAGGTTGTCTGGAGTGGCCCAGGTGATGGTGTTCACGCCGGACAAGGCTAGCACGGACAGGGAGGCCTCAACGGTGTCGCGGAAGACCCGCCCAAGCTGCCGACACCTCATGCCCTGCGCGAATTGGCATCCGCAACAAGAGGAAAGAAGATGACCGTCTCTTACAGTATTTATCGTACACACAGCAGCCTTCGCACGGTGTTTTCTATTTTGAGTGTACACGTTGAATAAAAAAACAATCGGGGAAGTTGGGTTAGGGCTAGGGTTAGGGCAAGGGTAAGGGTCTGCTTACACCCTCCCTGTTCCATTTCCTCATCAACTTAATTTCTAGCGAAGGCGGTTCCGTACTTGCGTCATCGAGGCTCTTGTCTTCGCGGCGGTGGTTAGAAGCCGAAATCAAACTATTTTCGACTACCGAATATGACACAAGATAACACACCCCCTGGACCGATTTTCAAAGCTCGATTACTCCACGACGAAGAGGATGCATAAACCAAACGATACATTTTCGAAAAGCTCTCGACGACACGGTTTTCAACGCCGCCGTTTTCGGCGCTGTGACTGTTCCTGCAGTTGAAAAATCGAGCTTCGAAAATTGGTCAAGGGGGTGTGTTATCTTGTGTCATATACGTTGCTCAGCGCGGAATACTTCAATGGCTCGATCTCGGCTTCTACAGGCCCAACGACCGAGATACGGTGGGTCAATCAACACCACGCCACGATGCGACCAACAACAAAACATGGGCTCGTCGTGGTTCATGCTTCGAGCTACGATTAAACAGCTCACGCACAAAAAAACTACACCATTCAAGCACGCACGAGGCGCACCAAAAATTACCTGCCCACCAATCTCCCTGCCCTTACCTTTACTTCTTCTAAACAAAACAACGCTTGTCTGGACCCGATATGTCGGGGCCCCCTTCTTGCCTATCCCTCCCCCCCGCCACCCCCGTTCTCTTGCGGACCCCCGGCAGCCTCGGCGCTTCGTTCAGATCGGAGCCTCTTCAGCCAGCCAATGGCCGGCGTTTCTAATGCCCCAACTAAAGGCACAGTTTTTACGTACACGCGCAGCGCGGATGCAAAATGGCGTCACCAGCTCTCGACGCCTGCCATACCACCCACCTCGCCCAACTCTAGGTAGTCAAGCGCGATAGTCCAAGCCCGGTCCGGAATCCTGGTGATGCCGACCCTGTCCGCGAATATCGACCCCGACGCCCTCCTCGACAACACGCCTCCTCCTCCTCCTCCCTGAACTCCTCCTCCTCCTCCCTGAACTCCTCCGCTCCGACTTACACCACTCCCCCCTCTCCCCGCCCCCCCGCCGATTGAGGAGGAAGAGGGGGGCATCGCGATCTGTTTCGAGGTCGGGGAAGGGTCCCAGTCCATGCTGCTGACGCTACCGGCGTCCGCGTCTGCTGATACTGCTGCTGCTGCCGCGAGGCTGCTGGCCGCTGCTGGTGTTCTCGTGAGAGGAACCACTTGTGTCATGGAGGGAATAGGGTGTGGAGAGGGGGAGCTGTATGGTGTTGTGCGTGCGTCTTTGATACTAGTAACGACCGCGCTACGACCAATAAAAATAACATAATAACGCGACGATTGTGCTGCCGAGCGCTCTGCCGAGGCAAGCGGCCGTTCCCTCCCCCCGCTGCAGTATTTTGGGTAAAAAGAATGCTACCGCCTTCTCTCGTATGATTGGTGCAAGGTTTGTGGTTAGACGCGGACGGTGTCATGCGCCGAAAGTCGACAAAACAAGAACGTGAAAATATTCCTGCCTCCTGCCGAGCATTCACGTCCCCCGAACCCGTCAACCGTTTGTGTCACAGCCTTCACAGCAGTAGCACCAATCATGCTCCGACATATCGTACCAAATACATCGCGCGGTCTTTATTTCGACTCCGCGTCCAAACTCACAACGCGAGAACAGAGAATACAGACTTGAATCCCAACATAGCCAAAGCGTACACCCAGCTCTTCAGGATTCTACCATAGCAAGGCACTCCCCTTTTTTCAGCATCAAACAAGCAGAACCTGCCCCCCCCCCCCCCCCAAACCC